GCTACTCAGGAGGCTGAGGCAGGAGAATTGCCTGAACCCAGGAGGTGGAGGATGCGGTGAGCCGAGATCGCGCCATTGCACTCCAGCCTGGGTAACATGAGTGAAACTCCGTCTCAAAAAAAAAAAAAATGTTTAATGTTTTAAAAAGAAGAGGGAAATACAGAGAGAGACACACAGGGAGAAGATGGACACGCGATGGCAGAGGCAGAGACTGGAGTGAGGCATCGGCAAGCCAAGGGCCACGCAGTATCGCCCGCACCGTAAGAAGCAGAGAGAGAGACATGGGATGGTTTCTCCATCGGGGCCTCCAGGAGGAACCAACTCAGCCGCCACCGTGATTTCAGACTTCCGGCCTACGGAACTGTGAGAATAAACCTCTGTTGTTTTAAGTCGCTAGGTCTGTGACACTTCCCGACAGCGGCCCCAGGAAACCAGGAGACACCAGGCAGCGACGCAGAACGCCGGAAAGGCGGGAGGGGAGGGGAGATGGTGATGTCCCAGGCTGGGCCCAGCGTGGCAAGGTGAAGGAGGTGAGGGGGGCTTGCGTTTTGTCTGCTGTGACTGGCAGCAGTGCCTGGAGAATCAGCGCGTGGAATGCTGAGAAAGAGGAGTGTGAAGAAAGAGGAATCAAAGACGACAGCGAAGCTCCGAGCGCACAGCCAGGAGGATGGAGCTGCCATTACAGGGCCGCGCAGGCGGAGGCGGGGAAAGGTTTGGGGGAGAGAGCCTGGTGTGTGCCTGTTGCGAGGTGCCTGAGGTATCAAGTGGAGAAGCAGGAGTCCCCTAAAAACTTATCAGTGTGGTCAAAATCCAGATGGCACGAGAGCCACGAGGTAGACGAGTCCCCCAGCGCGCGCGTGGCGTGCCCAGGACATTCTCACCTACAGAGACCAAGGGACGCAGCCGCAGGGCGGCGGGACAGGGAGAGGGGCTCGGGGCCCGCGCTCAGCTCCCGGGGTGGTGCAGGCCCGGGCGCCCGCGGGTTCCCTAAGACATCCCGCGGGAGGGCTTCGGGAGAGTCGGGCGACCACTGGAGCCAGGAGAGGCCTGGGGCTCACGCCGTCCCCGCGCCCCTGCGCCCCCGCCCCGCCGCCCGCACCCTCTGCTGCCAGGTACTCACGTAACGGCTGCACATGGCCACGGCAAGGTTGCGCAGGTGCGGCGTGGCCCCCACCCACAGGAACAGAGAGTCCGTCAGCCGCATGACGTGGAAGTGGACCAGCTGCTCCCACAGCCTCGCGCTGAAGTTGTGCAGGGAAACGTCCCAGGCCGCGGCGGCCACCGGACCCTCCATGCCGCCCTCAGCTCCGGGCCCACGGCGCCGAACCCCGGTCGTCAACGCCGCCCGCTCGGCCAGACCCGATCGAGCGAGCGCCGAGAGGCCGAGCGCGCTTTCGCTTTCGGTCCCGGAGGGGCGGGGTAAGGGGCGTGGCCAGGGCGGAGCGAGTCGGAAGGGGCTTGGGTTGGGGGCGTGGGCGGGGCGGGGCGGCTGCCGGCCCTGAGCTGAGCAGACCGAGACTTGGCCTCGCTGACCCGGGCTGTCATGCCGGCCTCTCCCGCACTCCATTACCTCTCTGGACTCGCCGGGAAAACCCATTTTAGTCTCAGAGTCCGATGGTGACCTCTAGGAGCCACGTGCGCCCAGTGGAATTCTCCCTCGCTTTGTTCCCCCCCACCCTAATTAATATATTATTATTGAGGTGGGGCATTCAAGGACTGAAGCCAGCCGCACCGCCTTCCCAGGCCTAGACACTGCGCCCTACAGACATTCACTTTTAATTAGTTCTTTAAGCACTCTGAGAACAGCCATCTCCGGTCCCACCTCCTCCTCCTAGCAGTGCCTTAACTCCAGGGAGGCCTCCATTGTAGCTAGCCTTAACTAAGAATGGCAAGGGTATTGGGAGAAAGCCTTTAGAAAGGAAAATTGTGTCTACTAAGTTGACAGGAGGATGGGCAGGCACCCTTTTGGACGCCGAGCCCCGAGCTGTAATCGTGTACAAGCATGGGCCTCGGACTACCCCCTTAACCTCCCTGAGACTCAGTTTCCTCATCTGCAAAGTGCAAATAAAAACAGGTACTTGGCCGGGCGCGGTGGCTCAAGCCTGTAATCCCAGCACTTTGGGAGGCCGAGGCGGGTGGATCACAAGGTCAAGAGATAGAGACCATCCTGGTCAACATGGTGAAACCCCGTCTCT